CTTTTCTTTTTTTTTTAATTTTTCTTTTTTAAAATTTTTTTTGAATTATTTAATTTTATTTATTCATTCATTTATTTTAATTTGGCCAGAGAGAGACACAGAGAGCGAGAGAGAGGGAAAGTGAGAAAACAAGCCACCAGGTCCGGGACTCAAACCGTGACTGGCTATGTGGGACTGTCCAGCACCTTAACGACCATGCCACCTGCTGGTCCCCTTTCATTTTTCTTCTTAAAAAAATTTTTAAGGTGAAGTTTTTCTTGGCTCTGAAATCCTCCTTTATCTTACTAATAATCCCTTCTCCTCTTCCCCGCCCATCTAGGCAAAAAGAAAGGGCAGGCCAGAAGACTGAGTCTGCCATGAGAGCTGAGATCTAGCGATTTCAGAGATAAGACAATGAAGATGTTCTGCTGAGAATTTTTTGTTTTTTAAAATTAACACATAAATAACTCGTTTTTTGTTTTTAAAATTAATAGATAAATAATTCTTTTGTTTGTTTGCTTGCTTTTTCCATTTTTCTCTCTTTTCTTTCTCTCTGTTTTCTTATCCTTTTTCATTTACCTCATCACTTTGCTGCTTAGCCTCCACCCACTGAGTATCTAGACAAGTCTAAGTGAAAAGTTGCCAAAATTCTAATACTATTTGGGTCCTCATATTATTCAACTTCCACTGAATCTTCAACACAAAGGGAGAAAAACGCAAGGCCAAAGAGTTTGCAGACCATACCTTTCTGTATGCCTCTGATTGCTCAGATTGGTCTTCTAGAAATTAGGAAGAAATAAATAACCCATCAGATGACAATAAATCACCACAGGGGCACAAGAAATATGCGAACCCAAGAAAATGCCTCTCCCCAAGGGAAAAGAATAATTCCTCTTCATCCACAGACAGTACAATGGAACTCATGGAAATGTCGGATAAAGAATTTAGAGTATTGGGAACCAGCAGTTAGCATAATGGCTATGTCGCTGGACTCCCACGTGGTCAACCGCGGTTTGTGTCCCGGACCTGGTGGCTTAAAACTCAGGCCCGGGGCGTGTGTGTGCGTGCCCAAGATCCCAAGAGGAGAATGGAGGAGAAGGGATTGCGGCATGACCATCCCCCCTGGGGGATGATTTCTCGCTTTCTGTCTCTAATGTCTCTCTCTGTCTGGCGAGCGCACACGCCCTATAGCGAAAATCTCTCAAAATAAAAAAAAAAAGAATTTAGAGTGCTCATAATGACAAAGCTAACAGAGATGAAAGAGAAGAGAGACACTGAACACCAGAAAAAAATAGCCAATGAGTTCCAGGAGGTGAGGAAGTTCTTGCGAGAGCTGAAAGAGGAAGTACACACCATAAAAAAGAATCAAGTGGAACTGTTGAAGATGAAGGCTATAATACAGGAAGTCAAAACATCCTTTGAAAGTATTAAAAGCAGACTAGATCATACAGAAAATACAATCTCAGATGTAGAAGACAGGATCGTTGAACTAGTAAAATCCACCAAAAAGACTGAGAAAATAGTCCCCAAAAATAATAATATGTAAGAAATACTAGATACCATTAAATGTCTAAACATCCAGATAATCAGTATCCCAAAAGGTGAAGAGACTAATAAGGGCATTGACAATTTATTCCATGAAATCCTGGAAGAAAACTTCCCAAACCTAGAAAGGCATTCAAAGATCCAGACCAAGAAAATACAAAGGACCCCAAATAGGATCAACCCAAGAAGATCTTCTCCAAGACACATTATAGCCAGAATGACCAAACCACAGACAAAGACAAGAAACTCAGTGGAGAAGTCTGTCAATTTATCAATATAAGCAAATGGCTGTCAGGTTGCAAACTCACTCCACAACTCAAATACCATTTAAAACCATTGTTCTTGGAGCTCCAGTATCTATCTTAGATGCCTTAACTTTGAGGAAGTGTATTAGATGGTCAACAAATATTAACACTGGCAAGAGAGAAACGTCAAGTTGCCTACAAAGGATATCCCATCAGGCTAATAGCAGACCTCTCATCAGAAACAATGCTAGCAGGAAAGAATGGAAAAATATATTCAAAGTGTTGAGTGAAAAAACTATTTAACCAAGAATACTATATCCAGCAAGGAAGAGAAGACAAGAACATTCTCAGATAAACAAAACCTGAAAGAATTAACCAACACCAGACCAGCTCTCCAAGAAGTTCTGAAGGGAGTGCTATCCCAGGAAAACTAAAGTCAGATACACAGAAATAAGAGTTTTAAAACAGCTAAGAAAATGGCTGGCTTAATGGTAGGGACAAGTCCAGAGTTGAACATTACCTTTCAGAATTTAAACAAAAAGATCGGACCACAACAGAAAATAAAGTACATGAGTTTAAACTGGTGAAATAGAATTTTATGACTTTCTACTAAAACATTACTGACCTTCTATGCTTTGTTTTCCAGTGTTAAGGAGTTTTGTCTTCTCTCAAGTTGCGGATAGGTATATGTACCTACTATTCGAACAGAATCATAACCTGTTTCCTGGCTTTAAGTATTAAGCAAAGTTCTCTTAACATTTTTTGATTTTGATTTATTAAAGGTAAAACTGCCTTTCTTGAAATTAAAAAATTTCAAGAACCACAGTAAGCTATATAGCCTCAGCTGTGTGCTATTTTATAGTATATTCATTCTACCCACAGAGTTTCATGTCTCAAGTCAACTTTTGTTCACAGATAAGTATATATCAGCTGAACTTACTATTGAAAGTATTTAGATGGATTAAGTTGGGGTTTTTTTTGGAGAGGTTTTCGCTATAGGGCGCATGCGCTCGCCACAGACAGAGACAGAAAGTGAGAAATCAACCCCCAGAGGGGATGGTCACGCTGCAATCCCTTCTCCTCCATTCTCCTCTCAGGATCTTGGGCACGCACACACACGCACCCAGCGTGAGTTTTAAGCCACCGAGTCTGGGACGTGCAATGCGGTTGACTACGTGGGAGTCCAGCGACATAGCCATTACGCTAACTGCTGGTTCCCTGGATTAAGATATTTTGTGAATCGATACAATGTGGGAAAGAATAAAGGAATGGAAAGCAACTGCAGATGCCAGAGACAGGGTGGGAGGAGGATGGGAAATGGCAGAGGGTGAGAAAGAAATGGAAAATTATTTGCTGATGATAACATGTATGATTAAGACACTTTATAGTGTATTCTGGCTGGAAAATCGCATTTGATATGCGTTTTTTATGATGTTCAGTGAAATTATGTAAAATAAATAAATCAATAAAAATAAATTTAAAAAAAAACAACTAAATGCAGGTGGGATATTCAAGAGGACTCCTAAATCTGGTGGGTCTGGAGTAGCTAAGAGCTGAGGTGACGTTTTTGGCACTAAGTGGTAGAGAAGCAGGTGCCAGGAAGTGATTTACACAATCCCTTGAAGCCCCTTATCTTCCATTCACATGTACTCTGCAGTTGTTAAAGCTCTTTCAAAACCATCATATCCTTTGACAGTCCTAACAACCTTATGAAATAGGAAAAGGAACGTGACTTGTTTACAAATAAGGAAATGGAAGCTGGAGGGGTGAGGGGTTTTGTCAAAATATTGCAATGAAATTAACAGACCCAGGATTAGATCCCAGACTGTCTAATTCTTCATACAACTCCCAACTCTACTGCTAAGTAGAGTAATAGCTAAATGTCTTACTAACACAGGTTAATTTTTAATTGCAGATGTTTGTATTTTGGGTTTTTTGTCTTGTTTAATTGCCATCAGTTTAGAGAAAAGTTTCAGAGGCGAGTAACAATAATTACTGCTTTTATTAAATACCTTCGTTACAGGATTTATGGGTTGCTGAGTCCGTTTCCTGTGATCTCGAAGAACTGGAAGCACAAACAGGAGGCGATAGCAAAGCGAAATGTATTGAGAGAAAAAAGACAAGCTCCTAAAATGGGAAAGGGTCCCAGAAAAGAGTTTCAAAAGAGATGCTGAGGCAAGGGGTTTTCACCTAGCAGTGGGAGCAAATGGGTTAGCTCTCTGATAAGGAAGTGGGTTTCAGAAAACAGGTACATAGTCTGGGTGACTTCTTATCCCATTCTTTGTGGGACCAGCAGACCATATCTACCGCACTTTTTGTTACTGAGCAAGCCTTAGAAAGTAGCATAGAAACAGTTGCCCTTAGCTGTAGTTGCTTTGAGCCCTAAGGCTAAGTCCTTTGTTAAAACTTAGCCACTGTGATTCCCTCTTGAGTCAAGTTTACTATGTCTCTATCTTAGACCTTTTCACTCCTGTCCTTTAAATATCCCTATCTACCACCTTATCTTCACTCTGAAGGAACAGAGAGCCCTTAACTCTTAGGAAATTTCTCTGCAGTTAAGACCCACATTCTATGTTAACACTTCTAGTCCCTTTTTTTTCTTTCTTTTCTAAGTTTACTCATTGATTTATGAGAGAGCGGGAGAAATTGGTTTTTGAAAGGGTCTCAACTGTGGAGATCCTCCTACCCCAGCCTCCCAGCTAGCTAGGACTACAGGGACAGGCCACACACCTGGCCAGGTCCATTTTCCGTTGCGCCTGAACAGAATCAGGCCTTCCACGAGGCTTCAGCCTCCAGCAGCAGCATCTTAAGCAGTGTGGGCCACCGTGTTCAAGCCTTCTTTTTCCAACGGGCTATCTCCGCCTGCCTAACTGTCCCGAAAGAGCCCTGACGTGGAAAACACTCATCGACACAGACTTCTCGAAAGCCACTGTGCAAAACTTTTAATTCTGAAAAGACAAAAAGCTAAAAGGTTCGCAGGACGAGATGAGAGACTGGTTAGGTCTCCAGGAGTACAAGGGACTTCCGGGAGTTTTAAGGAGAAGCTGTGCGCTTAGCACAGAAGGCCGAGGAGGGCCAGCGCAGATCTGCAGGGCGGGGCGGCAGGCGGGCTGAGTCAGGCTTGAGCAACGCCGGGGAGGGAAGGGCGTGGGCCGGCGGGGAAAGGCAGGGGCCCGGTTCGCGGAGCTCAGAGCTGTGCACCACGCTCCAGACGG